AATGCTAAGTTGGGTCCCAGCAGCTCTCTGGAGAGGAGGCATGTAAGGAGGCGGGGCTGAAAAGGGAGAGGGGGGCCGGGCATGCCCCCGAGGGCTTAGGTGGGAGTGAGGGTGGTGTGTTTAGAGGAGGGGTCAGGATTGTGTCTGCAGCACAGGGAAGAGCAGAATGACAGGGCAAAGAGGAAGGAGGGCAAATGGGTTCATGGAGACAAGGAGAGACAGAGAGCACAGGAGAACCATGGTGACATTTAGGCATGTCGGTGTATGCCATAATCCCAGCACTTAACAGACTAAGGTATGATAATTGTGAGTTCAAGGTCAGACTGCACTGCATAGCTTGAATCCGTCAGAGAGAGAGAGAGAGAGAGACAGACAGACAGACAGACAGACAGACAGAGAGGCATAGAGTGGGAGACAGAACCAAGTCCTTCTTGAAAGGGAAGGCCATGCTAGAAGGGGCAGAGAGGTACCCTATGGTGCCCAGCCAAGTAGGGGCCTTTGAGGGGGACTGATCTCACCTCAAGGCCCTGTCCCCTGCCCTGGGGTTCCCTGTAGCCACACAGCTCACAGGGAACTCCTGGTCTCCGAGATATCTTTTGCCCTGAGGGCCCAAGATCCCCAACATCCCCTGCTGGGTCCCATTCCAACTCTGCCGGAGTCAGGGAGGTACTAGGTGCCCAGGGCCCCCAGATTCCACCAGGTGCTGGCCCGTCTGAGTCTCCCTCAACTTCCAAGTTCTGGTCCAGGAGGTTGGCCTTCTCAAGCACCTGGAGCAGAGGACAGAGGTCATGGGAGTTGGGGGATTAGAGCCTGGCTTGGGGACTACGAGGGCAGGCCCTACCAGGCTATAGCTGATCAGCTGTGCCTGCAGCTGCCAGAGCCGTTGGAAGATGGTGTCTCGGTGGGCTCCCAGGGCCCTCAGGACCTGCTCCAGAGATGCCCAGGCCCTGGGCTCACTCCTCTCCGCCAACCCCTCACCAAATGCCAGCAATGCATCCACACGCTCGGCTGCCCCTCGTAGCTCTGCCTGTAGGGCCTGAGACACATGGTTAGACACTCTCACACACATGACAGTGACACCAGACCCCCCAAACCTGGAGTTACTTCCTCCTCCTCCATGTCCTATGCAGAAGTCGGAATATGTACTAAAACCACTTTCCACCCCAGGAAGCTTGCACCCATGCCTAGGACTTCTCTCCCATATCCTGGTTCTCCCCCTGCCCACCTGCAGCTGGACAATCCTGCTGTAGGCCAGTGTCCAAGAGCCAAGGCCTTGTTCCAGGTCCTGTAGCTGGAAGCTCAACCCCAACAGACAAAGATGTAGGCTGTCCTGCTCAGTTTCTAGTACTTCCAGGCCAGAAACAGAACGCTGGAAATGACAGAAAGCCAAATCAGGGTCAGTGGGCCAACACTATACCCTACTCCCATGCAGGCTGCTGCCTTGTGGGTGCTTCTCTGAACCAATGCCATCGCCACTGCAACACTGGGCCTGCTCCCACCTGGCAGCCTTCTACCCTAAGGTTGGAGACATCTAATTCAAGGTCTTCAGGTTCTTGAGCCTCAGAGAAACCTCTTTATATGGGTCTAAACTGGGAGGGGTAATGGAGCAGAGTACCCACCGCCCCCAGGGAATGGGGCTGTACTAAGGCCATTAATGAAATTATGATTTCCTACTTGGTAAAATACTGAAATACATCCAGCTTGGAAACGGAGATACATACTGAAAACCCCAGCTCTCTGATACAAGACAATTGAAGGTTCAAGGCCAGCCTGAGCTACATAGTGAGAGCCTGTCTCAAATAAGGAGGTGGGGGAAACTGGCTCATTGGATGAGGTGTTTTCTGTCAAGAAAGGGTGATGACCTAAGTTTGGATTCTCAGCACACAAAGAACCAAGCATGTGGCACCACTCAAATGCCAGTACAGGAGAGGTGGAGGCAGGCAGGTCCCGCTGGCCGGCCAGCTTAGCCAAATCAGTGAGCTCCAGGTTCAGTGAGAGACCCTGTCCCTAAAACACACGGTGGAGAGTGACTGACAGTGACCCTTGGCCTGCACATATATGTGCACCTGCCCACTTTTATGCACACACACAATGAATACACAAAAATGTAAAATAGGGCTGGAGGGATGGCTCAGAGGTTAAGAGCACTGACTGCTCATCCAGAGGTCCTGAGTTCAATTCAATCCCCAGCACCCACATGGTGGCTCACAACCATCTGTAATGAGATCTGGTGCCCTCTTCTGGTGTGCAGATATGCATGGAAGCGGAATATTATATACATAATAAATAAACAAAATCTTTAAAAAAATGTAAAATAATTAAAATGTTTCTACGCTAATAGGCAAAAAAATATCCTCACAGTGTCCCTTCCTCCAGAGACACCCAACACCTCCTCGGAACCATCGTATCATTCCTGGAGCAAGAGGCAGATTCTAGGGGACAGAGAGCAAGGGGGGGGGGGGACGGGACTCTGGAACAAAGGGTGTGGCCAGCTCACCTCCCAGCGCTTACCCCATCTCGATGCCCATGGGAAGAGCCCAGGGGTAGTCTTGGGGGGCTGGTGGCAGGCTCAGTTTCCTTCAGTTCACCTGTGACATGCTCAGGAGGGCCCAAGGAGGCCTGGGCCTGCTCTGACCTAAAGGTAAGGCATTTAACGGGGCCCTGGATGAGTCACTGGGCCTCCTTTCCCACCAAATCCCATGCCCAGTTTTCTCCATGGTGGTCACTCCACACAGGGCCCTCCCCACTCTCCCCTCCCTAGGAACCAGGTATCAAGCCCCAATCCCCACCTGCTTGTCTCCTCTGCAGGCACAGGGCAGATGGTGTGTCCGGCATCGACTGGCTCCTTGAGAGCGCCCAGGGGACGGGGGAGGGGCTCTGAGGGAAATCCATGGCCAAGAGGTGGGGACAGGGCCATGTGGACTTGGGGACAGTCAGGTGAGGACGTCCGGT